ACATAAAATTTGCGTACCATAAATAATGTTTGTGAGAGTTTAATTTGTAGTTTTTTTTCACATCAAATATAAGATATATATATTTATATCTGAAATACTTATTTTTTCACGCAAATTATTAAAATTTAACTATGTAATTTGCGTGCTTTTTTTACATCAAATTTTTTAATTGTCATACTTGTATAAGTCTAATTAGACTGATCTTTTTCTTGGCTTCCGGATGCAAATCACTCAGTATGAGTCCTAGAGCTGCCGCTTCCGGGACCGTCCTAAAAGCCCTTAGAAAATTCGCAGCTTGACAGGGTAAACCTCGTGATATATCCAGCATGTGAAACAAGAACCCCAATTCGCAGGAAATACAGAATTCTCGTTGGCACGAGTGTGAGAGCAATGCTATTCTTACAGGTTCGCAGTAGTATAGCAACTGCAAAGCAAGAATAAATGCATCTGTGATACTTGCTCTATTCATTCTCTGATTTACTTTGATCTCTATAGTTTTGTCTGGCTGCATTTACCTGCAGCATAGCATTGCAATAACTATTGGGAAGAGTGGCCTCCAGGCCGCAAAAGCTGGTTCGATTGTATTGATCGAAATCAAAATCATCGTAACCGAGTCGTGAATATTTCAACTCGATTTTACGATAACGCTTAGGTATGGCCACAAAGGTACCGTCATCTGTTTTACACTGTGAATCCCCCGCGAAAGGTTTCGCGATTAAGCCACGTCGTTTTTCCAAATTGTAAGGTATCTGCAAAAGAGGTATTATTTATTTTTATTCCACTGAAAAAATGAATTTCGGATAATCTGTCTTATGAAATTTTTGCTATGCGTTTTGCGCAAGATCGTACAATTTCATGGGATAGAGAGAATGTATAATTTGAGATTGTGAAAAAATAAATAATACCTATTGAAAAAAGAGAACGCGTTGTTGAAGGGAACTAAACTGATAATACGGCGCATATATTAAAGTTACGCATATATATGTTGTACGAGTTTGTCATATACAACCTTTATTATTCACTCAAGTACAACTTCGAGATTATACATTTTATGCGGACATATATTCTACGTGTATAATATATTAACAGCCTATGAAGAGATTATTGAGCAAAAATCATTAAACAAAAACGAATAAAATGCATCGATCACAAACGCATTGCGCAATTGAAGGCAGTAGAGTATCACGCTGGTCGATAATGTATAGGAATTATGGAAGCTTTCGGGAGAAGATATATGAAATATTTATTCACGTTTCTCTTCTTCTTTACGTAGGGCATTCTGTAAACGTTAACACAAATAATTTAAATAAGAGAAATTAAATCTTATACTACAGATATAATATTCAACGCATGTTTTTTTCTTATTAGACGCTGCCATGCGTAATTTTTCTGAAAAATATAGTTCAAAATATTCAAAATATTGAAATAAACATGATATATATATTAATATTAAAGAATTATACCTCTGTACAATGTGTTTCTCTGTAAAGTAAGGAAAGTTATATATATGTCATAGCTAAATCACAAAATCCATCGTTTTATAAAACGTCTAAGCATTTTATAAAGTGCGGTCACATTCTCAAATCATGGTTGAAAATGAAATATTTTACAATCTGGCTAAGAATTTTAGTATTTTTATAAAACGCTAACAAGCGACACGCCACATTGTCAAACACAACGATTTGTACATCGTTTTAGATTTTGGTTGGTTCATTTTAGTCATTTTATAAACGACGTTTTTAGCGACCTTACTTTGTTACATTTGATAAAATAGTCATAATAAATGTGTTCTTAAAATTTTTTTTACGCTTAAATTTCTTTTTATTATTTGTTTTCAAACATTATTTTCGAGAATTTTATTTATGTTACTTTTATAAAACCTTAATTGCAATAAATACAAGTATTCATAAACACAATAAGTAATAAATACAAATTTTCATATAAGCTTTTTCTTATTTAGAAATATACATAATTACCTATCATATTATAACATAATTACTTATTAATTTTCTATAAATGGCTGTTCTACAAAGATAGTTCATAAAATGACTGAAATAAACTAGCCAGAATCTAAAACGAAGTACGTCGTTGCGTTTGACATTGTGGCGGATCGCTTGTTACCGTTCTTTTACACGTTTCTTTACAACGTTACAGTTAATTTGCTCAATGGAAAAAAGTAAAGTTCTCTTAAATCTTATGTCTTTTTCGTGCGTACCGTGTGTAAGGCGAGGAATTTGTGGATGCTGGTTTGGCTACAGCGATTAGAAGGAACGCAGCGGATACGTTTTCGCTGGATTCTGATAAGCAATCGCGAGTCCATTAGGACCAATGATAGTCTCTGATTGTGCCAGCAGTCGTGTCTTACGAACAACGACACCGTGCAGTAATTCTACCGGAACCGAGAATTTACGATATCGAGTCAATGCATTTGCATCGGATCGTTCTGTGATCGTGAACACTAAGTGAATTTTCGCGACCGAAGATACTTGCAGTATTTATTCAATGGAGATACTATGTACTCGGAAGTTTTTATTTTATATACAAAATAAGATTGTAAAAATCCTTTTCAAATAATAAAACAAATAATAAAAAATTTGAATAAAAATATAATTGCATTATAATTTATCTGTTGAGAAATAGCTGTTGAGGAATACTTATTATATATATAAAGATCAAAATTCTGATCGGATCATATCTTTTTTTTATTTTTAATATAGAAAGATATGTTAAAAGAGCAGGCTAATATACTTCATGATTTAAAGATCACGCAAAATAAATTTTCTACCGTGACAAAGATATTTTATAGCTGTCCATCAATGTGTTAATCACTTCTTCGTGGATATTTATTTCTATCGCTATCTTAGTTGAACAAAACCAAAGACAGGCAACCGTTCGTTATCGCATCACTCGAGACGACACGTCTTGACAAGGCGAAAAATTGGCGCCACTAGGGAGAGATTTCTCGTCGTCACGGCGACATTGTCTACGTACGATTTAAAGCGTATATATATGCGCATGATGTCTCGCCGTCGATTGCGGGGAAAGAAATCGGAGGGAAAGA